GTCTGCTCTCCTTCTCCCTTCTTATTTTTTCCTCTGCTCTGTTCACTCATATGTAAACATGAGCTTGAATTTTGTTTTCTGGAAAATAGTTTCTTGTTCTTGAATGCAACTTTTCATAAAAATATGGATACTTGCATCAACGAGAATTTTTGGATTATTTGAATGGTCCAAGAATGTGTTTTTTTGCGTAGGCCAGCATGCTCACAAGGCATGCCAAATATTTCAGAGCACGTCATTATTGCCCAAAAATACTTCCCTTGAACTCGAACTCTTTCTAGGTACTGACCGAACGACCATTGTGCGAGATCCCAACGTGCCGTGGGCGATAGATGTCTTTGAAAATCATCTGTACTGGGTCAGCCGCGAAACGAAGACGCTCTATGTGCAGGATAAATTCGGCCGTGGACGAGTATCAGTACTGGCTTCAGATCTCGAAGATGTTCACGCAGTACGGGTTAGCCAGAGGTGAGTCGCTTGCTGCCATTTCTCATCAAGCTTTTCGGCTTTGAGGAATGGCTGGTGGCTTAAATAGTTTTTTTCTAAACAATTCGAGTTCCAGTTACATTTTTCGGTGAAACTCCAGTTCGGGGGGGGGGCACTCCATTGCTATCTTATCCGTAGTACTAGAGAGCAGTTCTTTGGGCTATCGAACACTACGGATAAGATAATAAGTGAACGACTCATTTCGAGCGTACTTTGAGGCCATCGGGGGATGTTAACGGTTTTTGCGACAAATTCGTAATTGTGAAAGCAAGGTTTCATATTCACGGTGTAGGATCAATGATTTAAGCCAAAGAATGCCTGAACTTAAAGCAAGTTTTGGCGCACGGGAATCGAACATAGGTTAGCATTCATACTTTTTTGGATTACAAACCGTTCAGCTGAAAACGAAACATGGTTTCCGTTTGGGGTCCATAAGTCTGTCGCTGAACAGATGCCAATTGAGCGTTTTTTAAGAGCTGCTGGCTTAGTCCCTCTCTATTATAGGTTTCTGAAAGCCGCTCTCATCCCCCTCCTGTTAGCTCAGGATGAATCAACGCCGTGGTGGAACTCCCTCGCCTATGGACTCTGTATTGTGTTCGTATTCAGTTATATTTTCTGGAGATATAGTGTTCGAGATTGCGAATATGTTTGTCGCAGATGAGCTCTGTATGCAACCGACTTAAAGAGGGGAACCTCCTCGACGAATCGTCGACAAACTTTCGACCTCCTTGGCCCACAAATTCAAACTGCAGGCGAGCTTGACGTCAAGAGGTAACCTGCTGCCATACACGCTCTGTGCTCTGCTGATAGTTGAAACCCTATGAAAGAGCAGCTGAGCTACTGCAAAATATGTGCCCAAAGCTAAAGGAGGCTTAGGTATAACTGTTGCAGGTTAAGGCGGTTTAACGAATGAGCTAATGGATACCTCACGGCTAGTGCTCTCCTTTACCAAAGAAAAAAATGGCGCTGCCTAAATGGACGGGACATTGTGCGAGATCCCAACGTGCCGTGGGCGATAGATGTCTTTGAAAACCATCTGTACTGGGTCAGCCGCGAAACGAAGACGCTCTATGTGCAGGATAAATTCGGCCGTGGACGAGTATCAGTACTGGCTTCAGATCTCGAAGATGTTCACGCAGTACGGGTTAGCCAGAGGTGAGTCGCTTGCTATAGTCTTTTCTCAGTCAAGCTTTTCGGCTTTGAGGAATGGCTGGTGGCTTAAATAGTTTTTTCTAAACAATTCGAGTTCCAGTTACATTTTTCTATACGAAACTAATTGGTCACAAGAATTTGGCTCCTTACAGGTACGCCCGTGACTCGACACGGGCAAAGAGCGCATGTGCAGAGGCTCGATGCAGTCACATTTGTGTGCAGCTACCAAACGATGGTTTCGCTTGTCTCTGTCCTGAGAACGTCTTCCCTGGCACGGTTCGTGGTTTTCTCATTGTTATGCTTTTCCAGTTTTCTGTAGTATTCTTTTGCTACCGTACCTGACAATGGTTATATGTAGCAGTCCACTGAACTTCACTCCTCCGATGATGTTGAAGAGTGGTTCGACGAGGTTAGCTGAAAGAGCTGTCATAGAATAGATCAAGCTCGAGTTTTATTTCATCCTCGTATGTAGCATAGAAAATGTCAGCGTTGATATGCTTGTAGGGCCAAAACCGTTGTAGTACAGGTGCTTAATTAGGGCTTACTGCCTACTGTCGAAGTCTCGAATTGAGTCAGTGAAATGTGAACGACAGCAGGACTTATGCACAGCTTTTCAGGACGGCTCATGCCCGATTGCACGTGTAGAAGCCCTAGTGATGCCACGCCAATGCAAATGCACGAACGGTGGACGGTGTAAGCTGGACGGCAGCTGCGAATGCTCGTCAGACTTTGAAGGCGAATATTGTCAAAAATCGAATACTGTCAGCAGAAAGGTGAGCCCACGATCGTACTAGATCCAACTTTCCAAAGCTATGAGGCCATGAGCAATAGTGAAAGTTTGAGCAATTTACATAAAGGTCACAAAGTGAGAGTAAGAGCGCTGGCATGGCGTTCCTATAGTGAGCCTGTGCATGAGCGGCATGAGCGCCCAGGCACCTTACCAAGCAGTTGTTCCCCACCACAAGGGGCTTTCAAGGCCAAGCTCGCGGCTTTTCAACAGTTTTTTTGCGTTCAAATTCGCTAATTGGAAATGATATTCATATCACGATTAGACCAATTAAAGCCAAACTAAAAAGCACCTCTAACTATTAATAATGTAGATTTTGAGGCGGAGAATCGAACACTGAGGTTAGCATTCCTACTTTTGGCATTCCTAAAGCCTTCCGCGATAAACGCAACCATGGTATACGTGGCCATTTAAATTGTACCGTACAATATGCACGAAGCCGTCTTTTAAGAATGCTCGGCTGCTCTGAGACACCTCTCCTTTGTTTACTCAGGGTTAAGTAACGGCCGTGGAAATCTCGCCCGAATCTGTACTTGTTAGATAGTGCAGAGACGACTGTGTGGACGTGACTCGAAGAGGGGAACCTCCTCGACGAATCGTCGACAAACTTTCGACCTCCTTGGCCCACAAATTCAAACTGCAGGCGAGCTTGACGTCAAGAGGTAACCTGCTGCCATACACGCTCTGTGCTCTGCTGATAGTTGAAACCCTATGAAAGAGCAGCTGAGCTACTGCAAAATATGTGCCCAAAGCTAAAGGAGGATTGCGCATACATCTGTCAGAAATGTTAAAGAGACTTAATGAGACCCTCACTAACCTAGTGCTTCTCTTCTAAAGAAAAAATGCTCTCCCTCTTTCGTCCTAGTGCATTCGTCAATCTTCTTCACTCGAAGCAACACCCCCAATCGAAATTGTGAGGTCACAGCGGTCGATAATGGAGTTGTGGATGCCGAGTTGACTAAAAATGAAAAAAGAAGCAAAGAAAACCGTCGATGAAGCCCTAAACAAGGATTCCCTTGAAATAAGGAAGGGGCGGGGCCAGACGAGTTGTACGAACTTGCCTGCTCCACGGCTCAACTAACCCGCGCGTATTTGAATTAGCCGCTACGCCGTAATCCACGTTGCGTGTCATGGGTGTGCGCGACGTAACTCGTCCAAATGCTAAGATTCGCCAAAAGCTGACTTTGTAAGACCCTAGCGCCATTGTCGCGCACTTTCGAGCCGCGACAACGGCACATCTGTGATACTCGTGGGCTACTCTATCCCACCCACTGAATAGATTCTTCGACACAACTTCGCTAGAGGTGTTGCTTTGATCTCGTTCAACATAGGAGACGATTCGCGCAAGGGAAGCTTTTGTCTATGGAGCTCCCGTGATTTCCTACATTTTTATCTCGAGATGGTCCAATTTTTAGATATAGCTCTAATTTTTACCCCGCTATTATGGGATCTGCCTTCAAGTGATGGTGTATAACGTGTGTAGCTTTGGAACATGAAAATATCAAATGCATCGAACAAAACAAGTCCAATCCAAATGAAAGTCTGATGTGCGAGGGCGTAGCGCTACCATGTTTTGAAACAGCAGACATTTCTTGGGGTGAGCTGTTTTAGCTGGGTGTGTTCATCAGTGCCTCATCTGCAATTCATCACTACTAGCCACAGTCCAGGGCAATTCTTTTCAGTTCCAAGTCTCTTCCGTATTATTTTTACACACATCAAAGGAGTTGATATCCTCCTTTTGGGAACGGTTGGTTGGTGCTGTGCTTGTAGAGGAAGTTGGAGCATTTAAAAGCGCATTCCACGATTCATTCGCATTCGACAATTAAGGTGGATCAATCCCTTTTCAGCCTGACAGAACTGTGTAGATTATGATTTCGAGGCTCAAAATCGCGCAACAAGGGTGCTAGGGCCTTCTTATTGGAGGCGGAGTAGGTCTAAATTGTAGCGAGCACTAAAATGACCTACGTAGAGAGGTGTCTGCGTCTCACTCATCTTCTCTGTTCTCTCGTTGTTTTTTCGCCTAGGCTCGTAATGTCTCTTCCTCGTAGCACATTCATTCTTGGGAAAAGAGGTTACTTGCTTCCATATTTTCGGCGGTTTCGTTTCCTTTTTTTGTTCAGTAGCTGTCCATATCATCCCCCTACTTCTATTTTTATGCGCTGTGACCACTCCTTGGTAAAAATTACCTCTGATAGAGGATAAAAATTTATCGATTGATCTAGATTGTTCAAGAATATTTTTACTCAAGTAATTGTTTATCGCTGTTTCAGCTCATTGGAAGAATTTCCGAAAATCTACTTCTGGCTCTTTTCCTGCTCCTCGCATTGTTTGCATGCATAGGCCTGGTGGCATTTGTCGGCGTCAACCTCTACAGGTACTGCTTCATTAACTTGCCACTATTTAAAAGGAAGTTACCGGTTCTCTTGAGAATAACCCCTAACTTTTCTGTATACCTGTATACCTTTTATTGTAGGAAGAGAACCCTCCTGTCAAAGAAGAACGAGGCAGCTGACAGTAGTGTGTCGTTCCACGGAAATGTTATTTCCTTTAGTAATCCTGCGTTGGATAGCAAACAGGTATGCATTATCAGGATCGACTGTACGTCGTTACCGTAATCCTTATTACTGCATTTTTTTCAGGATCCACATCCTATAGAGTACAGTATGCAACAAATTACTTCATCTGAACCGGGTTCGACAACGTTCTCAAATCCCGTGTACGATTTGGAAACGGACGCCACAGAGATGTCAACCCTGGAAAACACACCGTCCACGTCACGAGCAGCGAGTTTCCGTTCGCAAAATCGAACCGGTGACGACGTTATAGGTACGAATTCCGTGAATGCTCTGATTGTCCAGAATGGTGTTACTGCTTTCTCCCTAGCGCCCTTCTCTCCTAGAGGCGGTGCTGAGCCAGCGAATGTTCAGGCACCTGGGTTAGGATGCTCAAGCACGCAGATACAGCGCGTGTAGCGCATGATAGATGTACCTCACGCTGCCGGTCAAGCCAAAATGTGCGAGTCTAGATCCTCCACCCATGGCTGGGACCTCTTCAGTGAAGCTAGGCCCCACCTTTGCTTTCGATAGTGTTTAATTTCGTCTATTTCGCACTCCTCGCCTTGAGTTTCGTCAGAGATCGTCAAAAACCGTCTGAAACGACCTCTCCCACAACCACGACTCTCCTCAATTTCTACAAATACACCCATTCCCTTCCAACCAAGTTAAAGGGAAGCCTCGGGATAAAATAGGTGTGGAAGAGCGTTCGCTAATGAAGCTAGAGGTGGTGAGGAGTCTGTATAGAAGAACAAGAGAGCAGTAGAAACCCTCTCTAGCGTCTTTACCGCTCACTTTCAAGACGCAAAAGGGGCATCATCATCAACCCCTGTCTACTACGCTCGGGTATGGAACAGGTGAGCTCGGACCGTGCTTTTAACCTCGTGTCAAATACCAATCACCCCCTCCTAAGAACTGCAACCCCGACCCTTCCTCTGTCCTGCTGAAGTCGGCTCCGGACGGTTGACCTCTGAATGCTCTGCGCACCTATACATGTCTAAGATGAATGAGTGCTCCTCCCCGGCTGAACTACCCACGAAGTGTTCGATGGCCCGTGCCGTCGCTCAGGCGAACCACGCCCACTTCCTGTTGTTGTTTTAAGGTTCTTAACTCTGAGTTCAATTTTAATGTTTTAATGTTTTTAATACGTGAATCTAACACCATTGCAGGCCGATGTCAGACTTTGCGAATCGCGCGATTCGCTACTAGCGATTCGCGATTCGCTAGCGTCCGCGGTCGCGTTGCGGTACCAGCCAATTGAGTGATTCACTGGCCGCGACGCGACCGCAGACGCTAGCGAATCGCGCGATTCGCAAAGTCTGACATCGGCCTTCATATAGGCAGCTCGTGCCGTACTGTCTGTAGCGGCTCACTGTCTGCCTTTTGAATGTTCAAGATGTCATCATTTTCAGCCACGGGAGCGGAACTCACAACAAAACCGGTGGTGCCTCCTCGACCGACCAAAGTGGAGAAGGACAAAAACATTCTGCTCGAAAATCCCGTTTTCGAAGCACATCCGGATGAAATCTCGGATGTGTAGAGAAATTCTCACACTACTTGTTTTGCACAGTCTTCACTTGATTTCTTCCCGGAGTCATCCATATGTGATAATTATTGTGTTTTAGATTTTAACAGACTGATATCTGTGTGTACTATCAACTATGTGATTTGTTCGTAATATGACAATTCTGTTATTGTGCCTGATAAACAACATTGCTCAGAACACAGTCACTTCTCCTCAATTTTGAAGAAATGCCTTTTAATTTAAATATTGTAAAGTTTCAAAGTGTCTTATGCTCCATAACTCTAGTGATTCGCATTTTGTAGTTTGTATGCACGTTGCGCACGGTTGTCCATTCCAGACGAGTACGATAAAGATTTCTAAAAGTCTAGTTCATGCATCCGAAAGTAAAGTCTTGCAGTTGGTTTCCACAGGTAAAACTTTTGTTATGTTCAAACTCCAGCAGTACGAATTCGCCAGTCTAATGCGATGCTCAAAAATTAAAATCTCATGAAATTCAAAACAAAGCTTTTGGCGCTAAGCAACCTTTGATTAGACAAAAATCCAAATAAGTATCGACTCGATAAACCCTTTCTTTGAACAGTTCATTTTGAGCAATGTGCGTGGTGCGCCTTAGGAACAAGGGCGCCTGGAGATGGAGCAGACGTGAGACGGTGCGAGCGCGTTGACGATGGATGTTGCTTTTGTTGAGATGATGTTAACTCAAAAATGTTGTAGAGCGGCACGAACATTCAAGGTATCCCGACATTAAATTTGACCAATAAAATATTAATAAAACGGTAGGATGTTAAAGCCACGAGTCAGGATTAGGCAACCAGCAGAAGTTCTTCCCAGGGTGCGATAGTGGGCTCCCCAAGCACTGAGGGCGCGACACTATCGCGACCCAAAAGTGCGCGGCAATGGCGCTAAGGCCTTGCCCGCCGCGCTGGGGGAGCGTGCAACAGAATCGTCCGGGAGTGGCGCCGTCGCGCGCGGTTACTTGCGCGGCGCCGTAACGCGGCACTTTTTCGATGGGCGCGGCAATAATTGATTTTGTCGAGTTAAGCCAATGATTCTGTCAATAATCTTCGCCGTAATCTACTAAAGCACGTTAGGCAAAATCTCAACTTGGAATTGAGAGGGACATTGTGGCACCTCGATCTCACCTCCAAAGCATTTGAGCACCAACGCCGCGAACGGCTTTCGCAAAGGCAAGGGAGGACTCGCTTTGCGTCCCCTGAAATTCAACCCGATGACGCTCATTTCGTCCAACTACAGTTGCGACGGTCGCGACGGGCGACCACAGGCCGGGCGGGTGCCTCCGGACGAGCCCATTACTGTGCTGCCCGCCGCGCTGCCCGCGCTGCCAGCGTAATCCACCACGGCATACGTGGTCTCTGCGTCCTCTCGCGTACGACGTACTATCTCGCGTTCTCCCTCTCCTCGCAGCGCTGTGTCTCTCCGTCGTACTACGGCCGGCCTCCTAAGGGAATTTAGTGTTTTCTATGGTGCTTTTTGCTTTTTCTCCTCACTAATGTTCCTCATTGCACCCCTTGCCTAATGTTTGAACAAAATAACGCATCAATTCAATCCCGACTCGTGCCTTTAAGTCCCGGAAATATTAATAAAACGGTAGGATGTGAAGTACGAAATTTGGGTAGTGAATGTCAGTTACTCGATCAGCGATACTGCGAATGTTCGGGACTAATGCTAGGGAAAAGAAAAGGAGGACAGTCACACACTTGATCCCTTTTTCGGGCTATTGAGCAAGAAAGAGGTCGCGTCGAAACACCGATGGGCAGTACTCGATGAGCACAAGAATAAGATGAATTGCATGAAAAGCTAGCAAGAAGGCAAATAAATATACCGTTCTTCCTGTGAGCTGATTCCGCTGATCTGAAAGGTACGGAACTTTATGTGCCTATTAATTATGTGAAGGTTAAGCTAGTCTCGGGGGTCTCATAAGGTATCGAAACATCTGGTCGGATAAGTCGTAAATTAGTGTCCACCCTTTTAAACTCTAAAGAAGGCGAAATCCCGAAATGTTGGCCAATAGAATCATCATCAACTTCGTATGCTGTGAACTCGAATTGTATTGTAACTATGCTGAGGTCATCGAGACTCGGGATTGGAGACAGAACCTAATGACTATACCATCACACAGGCCCAAAAATGATTTTGCCAAATCGTCGCCCAATAAAGCGTAGTGTTTATGAGAACATTACACCGGCAGTATTTTACGACCAGAGTTACGGTGTCGTTACGGACAATTCGAAAATTGTTCTAGTACACAGTGTAGATTTTGATTCCCCTTTTGACTTACAGTAGAAGAACACGGCTTGTGTGCTCAGTGAGTTTTTTACACGGAATGAGCAATCCATAATGCCAGCAGCACCATCGGCTGGGTCGCTGGCACATACTGAAGAGGTCTTACTGCAGTTGATTGCAATTTCGATGCTCAGCCCTCTGCTAATCTTTTTTATCATTCTGTAAGATATCCTTGTAAACAGGTGTATGTAATGGATATTGGTTGTTGGGTTCATTTGCTAGATTCTTACATCTTTGAAAGGTGGTGTTATGTCATTTCGTTTTCTCGAGCAGTGATCAGATCTCTGTTTAGTCAGGTGTTATCTACTGACCATGTCGAGCACGGTTGACCCATCACAAACGAGCAGCGAATCCGCAGGTAGTTTCTTTTAGCGTGCTAGTTGAAGGTGAGAATAGTAAGCAGAGTTAGTGGGAAAGGGAATAGTGTTCAAAAAAATGTAACTGGGCGCTA